ATAATAATAACAATAATTTGGGGTTAATGTATTTTAACTGCAGGTCATCGATATGTTGATTATTTCACTCTCTTCGTCCCACGAGTTAACGTCTCAAAGACATGTGTCAGAAAGTGGGTAATATGTTACAGCCTGAAACAGAGTGAGTTAATCGACAATACTGAGCCAGCCTAAAGGATTTTCGAGAACATTCTGAAGACAAAGACTATAATCAGAGGGGTACGCTCTAGTTTCGATCTGAGGACCTCCGAATTACGACGAAACAGTTTAGTAACCAATAACGTCTATAACCCCCCCCCCCCTTCTAAAAAAAACTAAAGAATGAAAGAAAGAAGACAAGAAAAAAGACAAAAAGAAAGAAAGAGAGAAAGAAAAATGAAAGGAAGAAAGAAAGAAGGAAAAAGACGTTAAAATTTTTTTAAAGGATACAAATGAGTTTTTACACTTATTTAGACCTAATCAAAAAGTCATTTTGAACATCGATTTTTAAACATTTTGTTTCACATGTTATTCCACAGTCATACCCCCCCCCCCCCATCTTGCTTTTGTCTTAACGACATGGCAAGCAAAATCCTGAAATGCGGTTTTGGTCATGGTAAAGATTTAAATCTACTTTCAACACTGTAAGGTCCATCTCCGATAGGACCCAGTCAAATGGGAGGGGGGCTTTAAAAACTCTACAGAACAAACTTATTAATAATTTCTTTTTTTTATAAATTGCCGTTTCGCAATGAGTGGTTCGGTTGCTTGTGCTCAAGAATACATAACCCTTTTTTCAACATCAGTTGTTAACGAACCCAAGATCATAGATTGTTCGATTCTACGAACACTAGATATTACGACCTGAACCAAGCCAATAAATGCTTTTTACTGTGGCGGATTGGGAACAAAGACTGTGTCTGCTGAGTAATATTGTTATATTAATATTTCTTGGCGCAGGTTAACATTAAAATTAGATAGATAGATAGATAGATAGATCGAGAGATCGAGAGATCAAGAGATCGAGAGATAACGAGAGAGAGAGAGAACGAGAGAGAGGGAGAGACAGAAAGAGACAGAGAGAGCGAGGGAGAGAGCGAGAGGGAAAAAGTGAGTGAGAGAGAGAGAGAGAGAGAGAGAGAGAGAGAGAGAGAGAGAGAGAGAGAGCGCGTGAGAGAGAAAGAGATTGAAAGTACGAGAGGTGGGGAGAAGGATTAGCAAGCAGGATTCTGGTCGGGAGGTGGGCATTCTCAACACTCAGTGTAAATAGAAAAAGCTGGACATGCGGGAAAGGAGAAAGGCACAGATAAGAACGGCAAGCTAGAAACAAGATAAAAATACTCCTCAGCTCTTTAAAAGAAAGGATGATGTTTGATAGTAAAGAAGGGACTAAACACACCAGAGCACCCGCCAACCACCCATGTGGAAACGAGTGAGCGATATGTCCCTAATCGACAGATACAACTTGCAGAAAAAAGTTTTATAGGCTGTGTGTTTATCTAAATCATTGTTTTGTCCTAAATCATTTTTTGTGGTCCTTTGAGCATTTCTAGCAATTAATGCCATTTGATTAGTACAAAAAATGTACTCATGCTGATTTAGCAATTGCATTCATACTTATTGCAACATGTTACTCAATAATATGATCATTTGTTAATCTCGTAATCATTTTTTTGTTTCTAGATGGAATATTTGAGATCCTTCCTTGTCAATGAACTAGCTGGACCCCCTTTCGATAACAGAAATTATCGGTTCATTAACATCACCTGAAATTCATTGGCCTACTATACATACACTCTACTGGAATGGAACAATAAATCTTGAGAGATGCAAAAGTTAGAAGGTCTAGATCTATACTCTCAAAACAAAATGCGCCTCGCCAAATATCACTTCCGGCACTTCCGCTGTGAAGGACAGCTTAGCAGATTTGTTTCGTTTCTCAGTAGAATACTCACAAAGGCCAAAGAAGGACGGGAACTATTTGTTAGGGGGCTCTCGTGGCCTAAAAGTTAAGGTGTTGGCCTCTCATTCAAAGGTCCCGGGTTCGAATCCGTGTAGCGACCGAAAAATTTTCTTCTCTAAAATTGTCTCCTTTCACCCCCTTTCCTGCTCTCTAGCAATATTCTGTCATCTGCTTTCGTCTCCTCTTTCTGCCCCCACCCCCTCACCCCCTTTGCCCCCTCCTCAGGGCTCCTGACTCTTTCTACAGCCTTTCTACTGCTACTCCTTGACTCCTTCTTACAGCTGTCTTTAGGCCTCACCCCTGATCTTCTGGTAGGAAAGATCTACACCTAGCCTTCTCGGACAAGGGCGAAAAATCTCTGAGGGCCCGTGTGCAAGTTGCGCACGTCAAAGATCCCCTGGTGGTCTAAAATCGATAAAAGTTGGCTTCGGCCGCCACCCGGGCAAAATTCAAAATTTCCTACCAACTAAAAGTATTAGGTGTGTCCCGCGCGCTCATATGACCTTCTGCAGTTGCGAGCGCCGTAAAACCCTCTACTATAATTTTTTTTTTAAAGAACTATTTGTTCAATTTATTTTTCTAAATTCAGGAAATGAGTGAATAAAAAATCGGGCTCCGTCATGGGGGCCTATCTATCCTTTTGCAGGTACCTGCCAACTTTCAACTCTGTAGCTGTCGTAGTTTTATGGGGAAAGTTGGACATGTGTTTCCATGTTGCCATATATTATATTATAGATAAATGTTCAATTAGTATGCATACTATAAGCACGAATTGAGCTTGTTGATAATATTAGTAATAATAATGATAATAATAATAATAATAATAATAACAATAATAATAATAATAATAATGAGAGCATTTGTATCTCGCCTTTCCGCACAACATGGGTCCAAAGTGTACATTTCATCATTTGCCACACTTTGACAGCAACATTCTTTCAGACAATAAAATATGCTCATACAAAAAGGCAATCACCATCCTGACTCTACAGTTTGGACATATACAGACATCGATGACGACAAAATAATTTTGTTTTTAGAGTAGAGATACATGTCTTGGAAGTGAGAGTAATAATTAATGTCATTTAATCTTTCTACCTTTTAACTATAAACTTCTATATACGTTTTTAGCAGTTTTGAGTGACAAAGGGAATGAAGTCAGAAAACAACCTGTGTTCTACCACCTCTACCACAGTCATAAGATTATTCGGAGTCGTTCTCAAGATATTCAAAGAACTGCATTTGGAAAATCTGGACACGTTAAGAAACTCAATTTAAAATTTCGCAAAACTAGGTACTGAGTAGATATAATCTAGTAATTTGAAGGTAGGGAAATGTCTAGGAGCTGAGATCAATATTGACTTTTAAAAATGATAGAGCTCATTCAAATAGCGATGACACGATGCTTACCTAAATCGAAATCACAACTTGAACTGAAGCCAGTGAGGGCGGGGTGGAGGTGGCAGATCCTCAATATCGACAACTGGAAGAAAAGAACAAAGGTTCTCATTCCCTTCCCTTGTTCGCCAAGGACGTTGCCTTCCCGCTTTGACCCGCCTGGACCAGAGTTGGAGCCTGGACTGGCCATGCCATTGGCCTACAGCGGCAAGGAGCAGCCACCAGAGCGCCAAAAACCTGCCTTGATTTATCGTCCATCTCACCACTGCCGCTGGGAAAGCATGTCTCGGGAATGGGAGAAAAAAGTGAAGTAGAAAAAAAAAGTAGAAAGAACAACCCAAAAACAAATCGCAGCTAGCTCCGTTCTTTCTCCGGACTGGAAGAAAAAAGTGGAAAATGAAAAAAAGAAAAATAGACCCTGCCCCCTCCTTTAGTCGCTCCTTTCCCCAGCAGTCTTTTCGGTGGGGTAGAACGAATCCCCCCCTCCCGACCACAACCCCCACTCCCTTACCCACCGCCACCCTCTACTATCTCCTTCGTCTCGACAGCTGACTGTTAGCAATTTTGTTTCTTTTTCTTCTCTTACTCTCTTTCCTATGTCCGGCTTCTGTAATTTACACTGGGTGTTGGGAGTGGCCACCTCGACGGAGGAATCTGGCTTGCTAATCCTTCTCCACACCTCCTCTCTCTCTCTCTCTCTCTCTCTCTCTCTCTCTCACACACACACACACACACACACACACATA